TGCTGAGGCACTGTGTCACCCTTATTAGAATAAACAAATAAAATTATAAGGTCAATATGTGCAAGTAGTCAGAGATCTATTTAATATATCACAATTACTTGAAGTTGAGATTTTATGGTTTCATGTACAGTTTTGCTTGAAAGGATTTAGCATTTTTTATAGTCTTTAAATATTCTTTAACAGCAACTTTTCTAAAGCCCTTTGTGCAAAGAGAACTTTTAGGCTGTATATTTTTATGATCAACTTGGAACAAAAAAAAAACATATTTTAATTGTCCCTCCATGGACAACACAATGAGAAATACAGTGCTTGTTCTATCTAAACATGTGAATTATTAATGAGTTTTAATGACTTGTGTACGGAGCCGAAGCCTCCGAGATTATTTTGCAATTCAAGTCCATAAACATGTTTTGTTCCTGTCAGAGGCTAAAGTTTGATTAATGTTGGCTCTATTAGACAATATTCTGGTATATTTAATTCTATCAAAGCAAGACTTTTTGACTTTTTTCATGATCTGGTTGATCTCATGCAAAATTGTGAGATCTGTTAGTGCTCAGAGTATGTTTTATATGACTCTCAGCTACTACCACATCAAACGTTATCCTAATATCTGTAAATCTAAAAAAGTTAAAACTAGTTTTTGTATTGGCTAAGGTTGGTGAACGTTTTTTTTAATTTTATTTTTTTACTTTATTGAATCAGGTAGCTCACACTGAGATTATAAATCTCTTATTAAACAGAGACGTGGCCAAGAATGGCATTACCAATCCTTAAAACTTCGATATAAAAGAAGTAAAACAACACAGGAAAAAAATCCTCCATAAAACTAAAACCTTTCAGTTTTAGTTAAAACATTTACAAGCAGATGCCTCACTTATTTTTTTTTTAAAGAATCGTCTTAAAAACAATAAAAGAGACCAGGTCCTTCAACTTCAAGTCTTTTTGCAGTTGATTCTAGTCTGAGGGAAGAGCAAACTGTTTCTGTATCTGTATCTTTTTAATCTGTGCAAACCTTAGGTACAATAATAAAATAAATAAAGTTAACTCAACCAAGTGCAGAGAATGACTTCCTGAGGACTTCTTAGCAATACAAGACAGGAAATAAGTGGGAATTAAACTTGCTTTGTAAATAATTCTGCCAGTGGCAGAATCTGCAAGTCAGTACGGCAGTGCATCCATCGCGGGTGGACAAAACACAGTGGTGGGTAAAGGCCCAAAGACCAGTTAAAAAATGTAAGGCACCATGAAATACAAAGTCCAACACACAGTAAGTAATCAATGAGAAGATGTGTGCAAATAAATTGTGCCTCCATAGTCTAAAATGGACAGAAAAGTGGTGGCAACAAGATGGTCTTGTATAGCCTCAAAAAAATGAACAAGACCTAATTCTGAAGAAAAAAGTCCAACTTTAGCTTAAACATTTTCACCAGCTGTTGGATATGAGGAAAAAAGACAAGAGCATCATCAATAATAATAAAACCTAATATTTATCCTGGGATAATACCTTCATCTGAGAGTTTTGAAAAGTGATAATGGGCAGCAACAACTGTGGTTTAGATGTAAGCAGTGGTTAATTTGCCAAAACAAGATCCGGGAACGCTCTTATTTTGACAGGGTGCGTTCCGGTAACCGTTTTCTTGGATCCAATAACTCTCAGGCCTAACAATAATAAATTTATGAACAAATTTGACTGCCTTGAACGAATAAAACCTATATTGGATATGTAATCTGAAAGTAAATACATAAACACTAATTTTAAACATAACTAGCTTCTCAATATCACAGAGTTGTCGCTTCGCATTTCTACTTTACCCTTAAAAAACGCTGTCCCTAAAAGTTTAACGTCAAAAGGCAACTTTATTAAAAAACACAAAAATACAATTAACGATTTGCACTACGCATAAGTTCCTGCACTCTTGTGAACAATTTGATGTGTGAATCACTTCAGCAGTTATCTGAACTTCCATTGAACTGCATACAAGAGACGATGATCTCAGCTCATAAAGCTCTTCGTCGAGCAGTCAGCGATGTTGAAGCGACCAGAACGCTTTTCTGAATTGAGCAAGAGGATTGGAGCAACTCTTTTCTAAGCCAGTGACAAAGTGTTAATTATGAGGCAGTTGTTTCTAAATGTGGCCAAAACTTTGAGCAGTGCTTGTTGTACCACGGTGTGGAGCAGGGAGGAGGATGAGGAGGTGCATCTGACCGTGGTGTGGGATATACTAAACAACTAATAAGATAAGAAATAATCCTGTACATACGCTTATAAATCACACATAAAACATTTAAAAGTAAATTATAACTATGAACTGGATTCAGTGGTGATTGTAGCCTCTTTCTGGGGGTGCTCAAGCACCCCTAAATTTTAACTCCGCACACCTGAAAAATAAAGAAGCCATCATTAAGATTTTGTAAGAAAAATCAGTTCTCAAATCTTAGATTCACCAAAATGTTGAATAAATACGGAATAAATGATGACAGTCCTTAACAGGCCAGTAAAATCTATGATTTTTTTTTTTGCACAAGTCGCGCCACCTGTCAATCAATAAGCATGTCAGCAACTGACCAATCAGTGACCTCAATTTGTCCTGAAGTGAACGCCCCTTACCTGCAGAGCTGCAGCGGTGTTGCTTTACGAACACTTTGCAGTCAGAGAGATTTTAATGAGTTCACATCTTTTGTTTCATGTTAATCCACTGCAATAAACTTTTGCAAAATGCACCAGAATGCAAGAAATGGCATCTACTTTATTCGAAATTCCCCCCCACCACACACACACACACACACACACACACACACACACACACACACACACACACACACACACACACACACACACACACACACACACACACACACACACACACACACACACACACACACACACACACACACCCACACACACACCCACACACACACACACACACACACACACACACACACACCACACACACACACACACACACACGCACATTTCAGTGTCAGTTTAATGACCAGCAACAACTTAATTATAAATAAATAATAAAGGATAATAATTTGGAGAATAACTTGTTTGAAAGTAACTACTAAAACAACAATGAACAATCTATTAACAATAATTAATCTGTCAAGGATCAACTCTTTAATCCAAGACAAAATTAACTCTGAGCAGGAATTATTTTCAGCTTTTATATGCGCACACATTTATTTGATAGTTTATTTTGGAATTTGGTTGAGAGAAGTTATCATTCATTCAACCTTTACTTATACAGGTTCGTCTCATTGAGTCACGAGGACTCATTTTCAAGAGAGACCTGTTGTAAACAAAAAAAAAAACACAGACGATGTATTTAATGTGACCAGACCAAGTCATTTATCATGTGAGCCAGGAAAAGATTTGTCAAGTTGCATCAACTAAAATGGAACAACCAGACGCAGAGTTGCATCATGTTCTCACCAGTTCTCAGCTCCTTACCGGGTCAGTGTTGACTTGAGGGCTGGGTTCACTCAACTTCCTGAGGTTTTGCTGGCTGATCCGACCAGGATACACCACGAGGAGAGGACTGGCCAGGCACAGACACTGCCCAGGGTAGCTGAAAGTCACTGGGACTGCTGCAGGGGTCGGTGTCTCAGCTGATGTCAAGGAGACGTTATTGTCATTCGCATCACATGTGGTACATGAGGTGGAACGAAATTGTGTACTCAAGGTCCCACTTACACCCCAAAATAGCAAAAAAATAAAAAAGAAACGGCAGCCTATACGAGGATCTAAGATATACGCTAAACAATAATATAATATAAATAAGGTGCATTAAACAGCAGCCTGAACATGAGCCTGTTGTGAACAGATGAGTCAGCTCATGGGTAAGAATCAGTAGCACAGATGAAGTGACATATTCCCAATTAGTGCCACTACAGTGATAATCCTGATTAGGGATTCATGAGTCTAACAGCGTCAGGGTAGAAGCTGTTCCTCAGTCTAGTAGTTCTACACTTAATGCTCCTCAACCTCCTGCCTGAGGGGAGCGGGGTGGTCCCCCACCTCTCGCAGTGACTTTGTTGCAGCTCCTCAGACTGAAGAAGTTTTTTGGATAAAAGATGAAACGCTTCAACAGAAAAGAACCCGTCCAGTGGACCCAACATAAGCTTGTTAGATTAATCTACCTGGATGATTGAGCATGCATCAGGACATTACCTCCCAGTCCTTCAACCTGTGCTGTACCTCTGATGATCTCATTCCTAATCTTATCCATCCTCGTCACTCATGATATATACCAGAGTGCATATATACCGGTATATATTGGGGGGGGGGGGGGGGGTGTCACTGGTGCCCAAATCCATCAGTCATTGTGCAAGAGGCGGGGGACATGGACAAGTTGCAAGTCCATCACAGGGACACAAAGACAAGACGAGACAAACAACCATTCACTCACTCACACCTAGGGACAATTTAGTTACAAATCAGCCTAACGTGCATCGTTTGGTTCTGTGAGAGGAAACCGGAGTACCCGGAGAAAACCCACTCATGCACAGAGACAACATGCAAACTCCACCCAGAAAGGCCCCCGGCTGGGATCGAGTCCTGAAGCTATCACTATTAGCGCTGGAGCTAACCGTTTGTAGCTCTGGATCGCACCGTAGGAACCGTCAGAGGGAAAGCCCACAGGGTTAGAATGCATTGTAGCATAAATAAAATGGTGACATCCATGTGTCATTAATTAAAAAAATAAAATGTTAACAGTGTACAGTTTTTTTATGATCTTATTCTTATAGTTGAAATAGCCGTTTATCAAATAACATCCATTGTTCCAGAGTCAGAGATCACTATAAGTAAACATCACAAACACAGAAGATGGTGCTGGCTGCATTCATCTTTTACTATTGTCAGCAGTTTCAAGTCAAATGTTGCAAACAGACAATAACAACAATGCAATCAAAGAAAAAAATAAGAACAAGGAGAGAATTACAGTTCAGAAAATAATAATACATTTAATGTAAAAGGGGAAAAATAACCAGACCTGAATGCTTTTAAATAAGAATAAGGCAAAGCTGAAAGGCAAAAAGAACTACCGGTATATAACAAAAACAACATAATTACAATAATAAGGTCATATTTTATTAACTTTGCTCATAAAATGGTCAACAATATGAATGAATCTTGAACTGTTTCTTCTACGGTTGCTGGCCATGTCTGAACAGGAAATTAGCTGTAGAAAAAAAAGAAGGTAGGTTAAAAACAAACAGTAATGGTTCAAATAAGACTTTGAAAGCTGGAAAATCAACTGTTCCACAAAATAAAACTCTTTTTGTAAATAAAGACAAGTCCTGAAATGGAAGCTGAAGTTGTCCAGTAATGAGCAGAACCACGAGCATTTTGTTGGAGGTTTTAATACACAAGACGGATTAAAAAAAAGTTTCCATGTCCTCCCGTCTGAACTGATGATGCTGAATCTACTGAGCTGCTGTTCTTAAAATGAAAATGGTTGTCATGCTTTACGCTGAAACACAAACATTTATAAAAGCTTTTTAATACAACTCTACCTCTGTGGCACTGAACTGGTTGTATTTGTCCTTCTCACACAATAATCTGTGAATAAATAATCTAGATTATTTAATGTACCGGTAGGTTAAAGACTTCCACATGTCACCACAGGGCTGAAATGTTCCGTCTGTGTGCTTTTGTTTGTCTGTCTGTTAGCAAAATATGTCATGAACTGAACATTTTACTGAAATCTAATTTTATGAATGCAAGTGATTGTGTGAGCTGCAGGGCTTTCTGGGTAATCTTGGGACAGAAATGGGTGGATTTTTTCATGTTATGTCTTTAGACCAGTTGTCCTTGTTGTTTTTTCTGTTTAGAGTTGGGTTGGTACTTATGTTCAGGTTGCTGTTAGTGACAGTAAAAAATACTTGAGTTGGATTTTGTACTTTATGTACAAAGAGAAGGAATGCACTTCTTGTTGGGCGGGTTACTGGTTCATGAAACTGATATTATAGTAATACACTGCCTGGACAAACAAAAAGTCACCACCTGGATTTAACTAAACAAATAGGTACGAGTCTCCTACTGGATAATTACTGCATGGGCGATTGTCTTTCAGTTGGCAACAAGTTATTTAATCCCAACTGATGCAATGAGTTGCTTCTCATTTCTTAAAACAACCACGTGGAAAGACACATCATGTGGTCGTGGAAAAGATGTCAGTCTGTTTGAGAAGGGTCAAATCATTGGCATCAAGCAGAGAAATCATCTAAGGAGATTGTAGAAATTATTAAAAATGGGTTCAGAACGGTCCAACGCATTATTAAAAACTGGAAGAACAGTGGGGACCCATCGCCTTCGAGGAAGAAATGTGGCCGGAAAAAAACCCTGAATGATCGTGATCAGCGATCACTTAAATGTTTGTTGAAATCAAATTGAAGTAAAACAATAGTAGCACTCGGGGCTATGTTTAATAGTGAAACCAAGAGCATTTCCACACTCACAATGTGAAGGGAACTCAAGGGATTGGGACTGAACAGCTGAGTAGTCTTAAGAAAACCACTAATCAGTGAGGCTAACTGGAAAAAAAGGCTTCAATTTGCTAGGGAGCATAAAGATCGGACTCTGGAGCAATGGAAGAAGGTCATGTGGTCTGATGAGTCCAGATTTACCCTGTTCCAGAGTGATGGGTGCATCAGGGTAAGAGAGGCAGGTGAAGTGATGCACCCATCATGCCTAGCGCCTAGTCATCAATGCAAGATCTTGGTGAAAAATGAATGCAACAATGGATGGAAATAGATCTTGTGACATTACAGAAGTTTATCGAAACAACGCCACAGTGAATGCATGATGTAATCAAAGCTAAAGGTGGTCCAATGAAATATTAGTTATTTTTGGTGGACTTTGTTTTAGGCCAGGCAGTGTATAAATGGACCGCAGCATTTTCAATGTTAGCCTTTATCAGGTTGCTATTACCGTATTTCATCCCATCTAAAGGCCTAGCTCCAATAGTCACAGTTCACTACTGCAGTAAAGTCCTGTTTTATATACAGTATATATCTTTTTACTGAACACACAATTTTGATATATAATATTGTGTACCCTTTATCAGGCGTGACAACACAGAAATCTGTTTATTTACATCAAATAAGCCAGTCTTTTAGGTTTGTAAATTTATATTTTAGTTTTACTGTGTTTTAGACGCATCATGAGCTTACCAGTTGCCTTCTGATGTTTATTCACAAATCTGACAGTGACAATCAAGATGACTTGTAAATGTTTTTATAACTGCATCATAACCCTCATAATCATATTTACACTGAGGTTCTTTCAAATTCCCACCCCTAAAGGTAAAGCCACAGAGTGGAAAACACTTTAGTCAGCTGTGTCCTTCACTTTTGTAAAATCCTGTTAACTTTTTATTACCTTTTCCTACAATTTCTATAAAGCTATATACATTGATTTTTGTCCAAATCAGTCAGTAAACCTTTAAAAATCCTACAGTCATACTATCTGAGAACATGTTTACTCACCACAGGTATCCCTCCTTAAACTCGGTGAATTTGTGTCGGACCATGAATGAAGCAAGAGCGTCTGCTACCTGACAGAAGTTATTCAACAGCAACATTATAGAGGATCAAACGGGCTCAACAGCACAAACACTAGTTTTTTTTATTTTATCAAAGTATTCACAGCTGAAGCCTACTGACTTTTTCAGGTGCATCCTCATGAACAGCATGACCACACTGAGGGAGGACCTGCATCTGAAACTTCCCTGCAAACAATACAACTGTTTTTAGACCAGTGTGGTCCAAAAGAAATGTATCAACACAAGCATTATAATTTACCTTGCATCTGTCCAATTGTAAGGTCTTTGTCAAGCCTGTCCACTCCTGTGCAAAACAACAAGTCATGGGTGAAACTAAAAGGCGTGGAAAACCAAGAGGAAGTGCTCTTAAATTCTCCCCAAACCTCCTTTAAGAACACCGGAGTATGAAAATCAGACGGTCGCCGTGGTGGATGACTAACGAACCTGCGAGAAGGAGCAGTTTTGGCACAGCGCAGGAGAGAAAGAGGGCAGACAGACCTCTGAACCAACCCTCCCAGTATTTTTCCGTCTTTGACAGCTCCACTCTCCAGGTGAACACGCTCTCCTTTTTCACCTGCATGGTGGAAAATAAATTAAATTAAACCTCTTTCGGCAAAGCAAAGGTCAAGTCAGAAAGAAAGGAATCCATCGGATCATCACCTCTTGTTCATCTTCCTTCATCCTTTTCTTGTTTGACTCCTCCGCTGCCTCTTCATCCTCCTCTTCCTCGATAATGCCTTCACCAATGCTGTTGGTTACACTTGGATTGTCGGTGGACTCCTCGCATCTGTGGGTGTGGGAACAGAGGGAGGTAAAATACCAAACATAAAACCTAGAGGAACAAAGAAATAAGAGTACCACATAAAGCACATTATACACGTCAACAAACTATTACACATCAATCTATAACGATGACCAGGACAAGCAAAAAACCTTGTTTTAACTTTGAACTTGACTTGTGACCTTGACCTTGGATCTGGAGTGATGAAAAGAGTACGTGACATTCCATCTAGTGATGATGCATAAGTGTATGAAGTCTCACTAAATTATTTTTGGGCGGATCGGAAGTTACAGGCGGGACAAGAGAAAGTTTACGTACAGATGGAGACTATCTCACATGTCTACCTTTCGACAGACGTATAAAAAGACAGAAATACTTACTTCTTCACTTGGCCTCCCATCGACACACGTGCTGACTCTAAGTTTCTAATCTGGCCACTTTTGACACTGAAAGGAAAAAGTACAAGTACCTGAGCCGACATCAAACACTACAAGTTAACAAATAAAACTCAGCAGCGTGGAATACAGTTCAATCCACGATCAAACATCTAATGTCTACCTCCACTCTATGGCGTTCTCAAGAGACTTGAACGTCTTTGGCCGACTTCTGAGGAAATTCTGCATACTGTTCAGAGCATCCATTGCCGTACCTATACGACATTTATTTATTTATTTATTAATAATAACCCCAGTTATTAAGTCATTTACATGAACAAGTTATTAAGAAAGCTCCAAGCGAGAATAAAATAACTAAATACCTTCTACAACATCGATGACGCACAGACCAAGGAGGGATGGCACGTGATTGGCGCTGGCTGTGTGAACGGCGATAGCTCCCCCCATACTGTGTCCTATAATCATGATTGGAGGGGGGTTCTCTCCATAGAGGACCTCCACTACTTTGCCAATATCCCTTTAGAAAAACAAAAAAGAAGAAGAAACTTGTTACACTTTGACCGTCTTTCTTTGGTTAAAACGAGGTAATAGTTAATCAAAAGTGGTGCTAAATTATTTGTTTTAATATCTCCTCACGTGTTCAGGAAGCTTCTAAACTCCCAGGCCCCGTCTACATGGAAGGATGTTTGTGAATGAACAAAGATCTTTTATCGTTTCAGCCTTGCATCTACAATGGAGACGTTGTTTAGGAGCCCCAAAACAGTATTTTTTGGTTTCCAGAATGATGTGTTTTTAAACAACACCCATGACTTTTTATGCATGTCTCCTTAGACTTCCAAGCCATTCCCTGTAACCACTGGTGTGCCCCAAGGCTCAATCCTGGGCCCCCTCCTCTTCATCATTTACCTTCTCATTGGTGATATTTTCTGTACGTACGACATTCATATCAACTGTTACACGGATGACACCCAGCTCTAACTTTCAAGAAAACCCAATTCTGTCTTCCCACCCTCTTTCCCTAACTTTTAGGTAGGAAAGGAGGAAGAGAGGATTGGGTTGTCTTTGATGTGTGTCCTATCATTTTATGAATGTAATAAAGCACTGAGTAATCTTTGTAAAGATCTAGTAGTGTGTTGTATGAATGGGTAAATGAGGGAACAGACTAGTGTAAAGCACTTTGAGTATCTTGACAAGATAGAAAGGTTTTATCAACTGCCCTAATGAACATAAATCCAAGTTTTCTTTATACTTTCTTAAATTAAACAGTGACTAAACTAAATTCCTCATCATTGGAAGACCGACATTATCCAAATCTGGCATTCCTCACATTTTGTTGCCATTCCTAATCTCGTCCATCCAAGGCAATTGTTGAAGAAAAAGTTGTACAACATACATCAAGTTCACATTTTAAATGATGAGAAATTGTAAAAAAAAAAAAAAAAAAGACAAACTAGTGTATAAAGAATTTAGCCTGATATGACTTGAACATTGCGAAGTAAAACCCTTCCCTCCAGCTATCCCTCGCTGGATACTGAACCTGAGGTGTCCATTATCTCTATGTTTTTGGACATGACTCAGTCAGCATTCACCGTCCTGCACTTTTGAGGTCTTATAGTTTAATGCGACACAAAGTAGAAGTTCCATTTTTCTGTCAGTCTACAAATAAAATTAATGCATTTGCTTTTCATTCACCATCCTCTCTTGTCCTTCTTTCTGTGTTGAGTTTGTGCTTCACGTCTTGTTTCTGTAGCAGCATTACGGCGCCACCTACAGGCTCGGGGTGGTAACTACAGTACTCTGGGTTATTTTCTGAATATTTTGAGTTGATAAAACACGTTGCTGTATACACTAGGATACTTTTTTAAATGACAATACCCCAAAATATGTTTAATTTCTACAAGTTTGTTCAGAAAATAAATGTGCTTTAGGAATTTAAGTCCAATTAATGTGTTTTGATTAAAAGCCTTTCAATTATTTTAAGTGTTGACTGGACTCTTGACTGATGGATCATCTTAGTCCTCGGAGGCAGATTAATCTGAAGTAGTTCACACAAACCTAATGCTGGTCACAAGTAAAGTGTATGATCGGATACTTACTTTGCCATTGTGTCTGCAGAAAGATCTTCAGGATTTTTAACTTTGGTGTCTCCTACACAAAGAAAAGCACATTTTAAAATAAATAGAGCAACAATTAAGCACCTTGGGATGTCAAATTCTGAAATAATTAAAAAAAAAATCTGATCTTCATTACAATTACAACCAGAAATACAACAATCCCACAATTTAAATAAATTTGATCATACATTTAGAAGTATAATTTAGTAATTAATGTTGCCGTTTGTGATGATCGAAAACTACCATGAGCTCGAAGGTCCATAGCCACCACTCTGCAGTTGATCCTGTTGTATATGACGGCCTGAACGAACAAACATTTATATCAAACAGAAACACGTGACAAAAGAATTCAGTACTTTTTGTTGTGTTGAAGTGCATGTATTACAGTGTTACAGTAAACAAAGATTTAGAGTTTCTAAAAAAGCAAGATTTATACTGACAGTAAACACCGCCCAGGAAAGTGCAGAGTGTCCTCCTCCGTGGAGCAGGAACAGAACGGGACCGTGGGAGCCACTGCAGTAAATTCTGAAAATGTTCCAGGTAGTCAAGGATATAAAAACCAGAGCTGTGCAAGAGTTACTACAAGCCTGCAGCAAAGACCAGAATAAACACAACTGTGTAAAAACTAGTCAACTTTGCTCTTGTCAAGTTTTCTCTGATTGTTTTCAGGCCACAAAGCAGAGTTTGCGCAGAATTGTCAGGTTTTGTCCAAGAGAGGGAAAGGCAGCAAATCCCAATTCATTTTTGATCATTGACTTTAGAAAATTACCAAAAAGTTTGGCTCCTTGGAAGAAACATTTAAAGATGTGACTAGAGGCTTAAGAGTTTTGCACAGAACTCACTATTGTCATAATTTCTCCAAACTAAAACAACTGAAGCTCTCGACCATGACCTCTCTAAGTGGCTTTAAGCATCTGTTGGACTCCTGGCAAGAACCAATGCAGACATGTTCCTGTTTTTAGTTTTCTACATTCGCCTTACCATCTAGCTGTTTTTGTTGCTTTTTTGCCATCTTATTTTAATTTGTAAAAACATAATAACAATAATCCGTATGCCTCTTTTATGATCGTCTATTGTTATAATAATAATAATAATACATTTTATTTCAGGGCGCCTTTCAAAAACCCAAGGTCACCTTCCAAAAACAATTAAAATCAGCAATTGTTGTCCATGTTGTCATCTTTCTTTGTTGAAATCAGGTCTCTCTTGTAAATGAGTCCTCGAGGCTCAATGGGATTTACCTGTCTAAATAAAGGTTGAATGAAAAACCAGACAAGGATATATCTTTGCCATTTTCAGTCTCCACCTCAACATCTTCCATGGTTTCAAAGTAGTGACTCCAGGGCAGAGGGGTGAAATCTCTCTTCCTGCCAGGTCTGAGTAAAAAAAACAGCACAAGCACAATTTAAAATCTATCTACGTCAGACGTTATTTTATAATTCAACAAGACTAACAGAACACTAGTAGACAAATGACATACAAAAAAAATCTGGTTTTGGTCACAACTAAAACGACAAACTTACAAGCCTAAAGTGAAACTACGAAGCTTTAACTCTTTTACTATTATTAAACATGAAATATATCAAAAAGTTATCAGAGATTTTTCTATTTTTGCCAGACAGTACTTACAACTCTTTGACAGATCAGCTTAATTCTCCCTTAAAAAGCTCCAGGGCATTTTTTTAAATTCTAAAAACGTGCATCAAAATTACACATACAAGCTGAGCTTATTAAAATCACAAACAGTTTGGTACTGGAACAAGCTGAAAACAGAAACTGCATCATTTGGAGGCTGCTTTGGGTTCTGATTTTAACCCCAATTTGACAGAAATGATGACGTCATTTGGTGCCTATATGGTTATCAGAAGCAGAAATGTCTTTATAAATACTTTGACTGGGGGAAATAAACAAATCTGCCCTGGCCTTACTTAATCTATGCAAAATATGTGTAGGTTAAAAGTGGTCCAAACCCTTCTCGTAAACACACAAGCCAATAAAGTCACCTACATTTAAGGAGATAAGCCAAAGTTGTCAAGATTCCCTCAAAATACACAGCCGCCAAGTAATTTGAAATTAAACACGTGGTCCTTATTGAAATGAATCGACAGATTTAGTCCCATAAATTGAGTTGAATTGAGAGAAATTTTGACTACATATGAAAATTAGCTCCTATAGCTAAATCTGTCATATCTACAGGATAAATAATGAGTAAATAAAGGCAGATCAGACAATGATTTTGGTACAATTTTATTGGCTGCTGCAAAAGGCTCCTCGTCTATTTTCTAAACTTGATTAAATCAAAACATATAACAGATACAAGTAATTACTATCCTATAATCAAGGTCTATTTAAATGTCTACACTTTGTCCTGTTTTATTGGTTTACACACAACAGTGTCCACACCCTTGTTCTCCTGAGAAAGGTAAACATTAAATATATATCAGAGTCAGAGTCAGAGTTTCTTTATTGTCATTCGCACCTCATGTGGTACATGTGGTGGAGCGAAATTATGTACACAGGGTCCCAGTTACATCCAACAATAAAATGTATAAGAAAAACAGTAATAACATCTAAGATATGAACTAAGAAAAACATCAACTAAATATACACTAAGCACTCATAACATAAAACATTGAACATCAGCACAAACATGAACATGAGTCTGTGAGCAGATGTGCACGCATGAACACATCAACATTGAAACAGATCAGCAGCAACATGA